TACGGCCTCCACCAATAGGAAGACCCAGCATGTTTTAAACTAGGCCTAAATTTGGGGGGAGGGGCTTAATTTGATTTTATGCCTAGAAAACATGCTGGGTCTTCCTATTGGTGGAGGCCGTATTGTTGGAGAAACAAGGTAGGAGCAGATTTTTATAATCTGCACAAGAAATATTTTTTAAATAATCTCAGCAAAATGATTCTACCAGCTCTGGAAACCTACAGCTTATAATAAATACTGATTAAACACAGATAATCAATACAATAGAATAGAACCAAAAATGTTTATCCTAACAAAAAAAGGGACCTGGTTCTGTTACTGTGGCCCTACTCCATTTCCACTTTGATATGGCACAGTCCTGTTCCCCCCCCCCTTTTCTGCCTTACTCCTGATAATATTTGTTTCATCTCACCACCAAAATATGACTGAGAGAGGCTTATCTGTACTAATATAGAATTAAATAAATACTTCTTTATACTGTTGGTGAAACCCCTCTAAACTCAGGTGACTGAAAAAATAGTAAAATTCCAGACTTACAAAATAAAAACAAAAAATCAGATGATTAAAACTACTATTTTAATTCAGCAAAATCTTAATTGGAAAGGAAGATTTTGCCAGATTTCAAACCTGAAAACTTCTCTATATTAAATGGTGAAATTTGACATTATGTTGTTTCTTAGTGCTAGTAAGGAAAGAAATAACATCAACTACACAATCAACGTTGGCTCAGTTGAAGGACTGATGCTTTATTTGCAAAGAAAATAATGAATTGATGAGATTAACTGGAACAAATTTAAATGAATTAGCCCAAAGGAGACTTTGAGGAATGTTTCAAAAATGGAGATTACTTTGAAGGAGACTGGAGGAGCATTAGAGGGCACTGTTATCTCTTTATTCCCTTTAAAAATGTTGCCAGCACATCTGATGATGGGATAAGACCTACAATATATCTTGGTCTGACTTCAATAGTGACAGAAGGCCCAACAGTATATATTTGCAAATTACAAATGTACCTATAGTTGATTCATAGAAAAATAAAAAAGTAGCACAATGGTTCATAACCTTTGGCCAGGCTTAGTAGGTTTAACATAGTATTATATTATAGCTACAAAAAAAACACTACATACTTTTATATTCAGCCTTAACAAAATTAATACATAGATAACAATGTCAACTTTCAATACTTTTTTAAAAAATGTACAGGTTTTATGCCTTTGTCCCAATTATTAAGCTCCACGACTGATTCTTTCTTAAGAATACCATTTTCTTATAGTGCCAGACACTATCAGGAATAAGAAACCCAGACTCAACATCTGTAAAACAACTTTACAATGTTTTGAAAAAAAGTAATCTGAGTCATAACTAGCCTGTGAATTGTGGCAGAGAGAACTATGGGAACTTGGAAGCAAGTCTACAAAAAATATTTCTATAAAGCAAAGTCAAACTGAGAAAAGATGTAAGGAGTCAAAAGGAAAGTATCTCATGTGATTAAAAAGCTGAATCCTTCTTTTCTCAGACTTCTGGCTAATTTTTCTTTTCTGCATAAAGCTGTAGGAAGAATTTATGCAGTTTCAGGGCCTGCAGCATCATGGGCGGGAGAAGGATTTTTCAACCTTTGTTTTTAGCATTTTAATGTCAACAGAAGAAAGGGCAATTAGGGATTGATTTCAAAAGACTTCTGAACTGACAGGACTTCTGGCAACTGCAAATAATGACAGTAGGTAAACCCTCTCCATCAGTGGTCCCCAACATTTTGGCACTAGGAACCGGTTTCCTGGAAGACAATTTTTCCGCAGACAGAGAGGGAAACCAAGATCCCTTGCATGTGTACTTTACAGTAGGGTTCGTACTCTAATGAGAATCTAGTGCCTGAAGACATGAGGTGGCGCTGAGGCAGTGAATCTAGCACTGGGGGAGCAGCTGCAAATACAGATGAAGCTTCACTTGCTTGCCCATCACTCTCGTCCAGCTATGTGAATTGGTTCCTAACAGCCCACAGATCAGTATCAGTCTGTGGTCCAACGGTTGGGGACCTTGGCTCTAAGTGTCAACATATATGTTCTTAGATATAGGGTGGTAATAATGATAATCATTTGTCCTTAAATTTAAAATTCAGTTAAAAATGAAGAGTTTTTATCTAAGACTGCTTAGCTGTTTTGTTCTCTTTAATTTCCTCAGTCCCATGTCAAATAATGTCAATAAATAAATAAATGAATAAATAAATAGTAAAATATGAAAATGCCTTGGGAGGTTTTTGCTACTCCTTTGAAATTTTGCACAATGTACTTTAGAACAACTTTTTTCTCTGTATGCTTTCAACAGTTGATCATTACCTACCCTCTAGCACAGGGGTGGGCAAACTTTTTGGCTCGGGGGCCACATTGACTTTTAAAATTTGACAGACGGGCCGGGTCAGCACAAGATTTTTTGGGAATTGCCCCCCCTTCCCCCCTCTTCTCCTCCTTCCCCTCCCCTCGGAGGCTCCCCTCCCCTCGGAGGCTCCCCTCCCCTCGGAGGCTCCCCTCCCCTCGGAGGCTCCCCTCCCCTCGGAGGCTCCCCTCCCCTCGGAGGCTCCCCTCCCCTCGGAGGCTCCCCTCCCCTCGGAGGCCCTCTGAGTCAGGAGTTGCTACCGCCGGCGCGGCTCCGCGCGGCTCCAGTCCCGCGTTGCCTCGGGAAGGGAAAGGCAAAAAGGAAGAGCCGCGGCGGTGGTTTGCAACGGGAGCAGCGGCACTGGAGGCTCAGGCTCAGCGGCTCCTGGTTTTGCCTTTTCCTTCCCAAGGCAACGTGGGACTGGAGCCGCACGGAGCTGCGCCGGCGGTAGCAACTCCTGACAGCCCCAGCCAGACACCTGAGCGGAGCCCGGGCGAAACTGCCTCTTGCTGCTGCTGGAGCACCGCCGGGTCGCCTCCTCCAAGCAGCCTGCCCGCCCACCAGGCTTCCCCTCTGCCGCGCGGCTCGGGGCCAGGCGCAAGCGCCCGAGAGTTAAAAGGAAGCCGAAAGTTGCTGGGAAGTTGCTCGGGTGCTGGGAGCAGGCTTTTAAAGTGCCACCCGAGCAAAGTTTAAGCAGCCCACCCCGCCCACCGGGCGGAACCCTTCCCGCTCCTCGGCGGGAATACGCTCCAGCCTGCAAACTTTGCCTTTGCAAAGCCCTGGAAAACGGAGTAACTTCCCAGCAACTTTCAGCTTCGTTTTAACTTGCGGGCGCTCGCGCCTGGCGGAGGGGAAGCCCGGAGCCTCCTCCAAGCAGCCTGCCCACCCGCCCGCCGAGCTTCCCTTCCACCGCGCGGCTTGGGGCCAGGCGCAAGCGCTCGCGAGTTAAAACAAAGCCGAAAGTTGCTGGGAAGTTGCTCGGGTGCTGGGAGCAGGCTTTTAAAGTGCCACCCGAGCAAGCAGCCCGCCCCGCCCACCGGGCGGAACCCTTCCCGCTCCTCGGTGGGAAGACACTCCAGCCTGCAAACTTTACCTTTGCAAAGCCCTGGAAAACGGAGCAACTTCCCAGCAACTTTCGGCTTCGTTTTAACTCGCGCCTGGCGGAGGGGAAGCCCAGAGCCTCCTCCAAGCAGCCCGCCCACCCGCCCGCCCGCCGGGCTTCCCTTCCGCCGCGTGGCTCGGGGCCAGGTGCGCGCGCCCGCGAGTTAAAACGAAGCCAAAAGTTGCTGGGAAGTTGCTCAGGTGCTGGGAGCAGGCTTTTAAAGTGCCACCCGAGCAGGACCGCCGAGCCGGGAAACAGGGCACCAAGGCAGGGCAAAGCTCCACCAGCAGCGGCCTAGCTTTAGGTGGCTCCAAGCAGCCCGCCCCGCCCGCCGGGTGGAACCCTTCCCGCTCCTTGGCGGGAAGACGCTCCAGCCTGCAAGCTTTGCCTTTGCAAAGTTTAAGCCTGGAAGCCCCGGAAAAAAAAGAGGGATCGGCGGGGACTCACCTTCGGAGAGGTCGCACTCGAAGGTGATTTCGAACTCCCAGCCGAGGCCTTTGCAAATTTCTTTTCTTTCCTACCCCTAGATCGCTCCGCACTGTTTTGCAGCTCTGGGGGCCACGCGGCACAGGGCAATTACGCCACGCCCAGCGATTTTTTTTCAGGGGCGGGCCGGATTGGACAGACCAATGGCAGCGATTTTTTTTCAGGGGCGGGCCGCATTGGACAGACCAATGGGCCGGATGTGGCCCGCGGGCCGTAGTTTGCCCACCCCTGCTCTAGCAAATAATGCTGAATCACAGCATTCGATTATTCAGTAAAGTACTTTAGACAATGTTAAAAAATACTTGCACACACAAATTTTTTTTTATTTTGATTTGATAGAAATGCTAATAAATAATGCTTTAAATTATGTAGCTTACTCCAAATGCATTTCTATTAATACATTTTTAAAAATTCAGAATTGTATTAATATAATTTATCAACCCACCGATTCACCTATCTATTCACCTATATAGCCATAAACATCCAGAATCAATGTTAACATGGTTTATCATTAACATAAAATAGTAAAATGATAGTATTAATTATGTGTTAATAACATCTGTATTTAACAAGGCTCCCCTTCTAGTACCATCAAAGGTACATGTCAATTATACCATAGGCAACTCTGATGAATCAGGGTATGTGCCAGAATATTATCCTCTCCCAAACAGGGGAAGAGATGATTGGCTGTGTGCTTGGAAATAAAAAAAATGTTGGTGTGCAGATCATATGGGTTCCAGAAGAAGCTGGGGGATATAACTGCAGATCTACTGTGCAGTCCAGCCAAGCTCTTAGTCGCTATTTGGAAATGGAAGGTGACTGAAGCTCTGGATAGGATTGCACCCTTGTGACTTCTCCTCACCCGTAGACCTCTCTGTGCCCCATGGTATACAGAGGAACTGAGAGGGATGAAATGCATGAGACGTCTAGAGTGCCACTGGCAGATGACAGGAAATGAACTCAATCGAACATGGGTAAGAGCTGCTACTAAGGCCTACCTCGTGGCGATTTGTGCAGTAAAGTGTAAATACTTCTCCACACTAATTGCATCTGCAGATAATAGCCCAGCAATCCTCTTTAAGGTAAGCCATCTCCTCCTGTTATCTGGGAAGTTTGATCCTGTTGCTCCTGAGGAAGTGGAAGGATCCTAGGGAGTATGCACATGAGCACCTGTGTTTTAGATTCATGTCCCTCCTGGCTTGTGAATGCTTCCCAGGGGGTGACAGGCAGGTGGATTCTGGTGGCGATTAATGCTTCCCTACAGGAGGGGATGGTGCCCCAGCACTTTAAGGAGGCTGTGGTCCATTCTCTTCTTAAGAAGCCATCACTGGACTCCACCTGGTTGGATAATTTCCAACCTGTCTCCAATCTTCCCTTTTTGGGGAAGGTTGTTGAGAAGGTGATCATGCAGCAACTCCAGAGGTTTCTGGATGAAATGGATTATAACATAATTCCTTCCAACTATCATAAGTTATCCTGCAGGTAGCAGGTCTAGTGGAGATGTAGGAATTGAATAAAATTTAACTATCAAATTGACTGAAGAGTTTCCTAATTTTGGAATGTAATCTCTCTTTCTTTCAAGATTTAATAAAATCCAAATAATTAATTTCTCAGGTTAGGTCAGCAGGGTACAAAACTATATATGTTGCAATATGAAATAAATATAGATTATTATATGTTTTTACAAAACTAGACCAGCATTTGCAAATCACTTCTGAAATTTTGCCTAAAAACCAGCAGGAACTAATTCAGGCAGTCACCAGGAGTCAATGATGACTTGTAGGTCATCCCTCCCTCACCAAATCTTTTAGATGGCCAGCTATATAAGTGCTTACAACTATAATCCTTACTAATCTTTAGAAAAACAGACATCTATTTGTCTCTGCTTTCTCATACATAGATGAAGGAAAAAATGAACAATGTTAAATGTTAGCTCTGACTTGAGTAGTTTATCTGTAGATATAGAAAGCAACTTCACTTTTGAAACCTGCTATCTCTTCATTTGTGTATGAAATCTGTGGAATCAATTTAGCACATGTAATCAGGGGTGGGATTCAAATTTTTTAACAACCGGTTCTGTGGGCATGGCTTATTTGGTGGGCATGGCTTGGTGGTCATGTGACTGGGTGGACATGGCTTGGTGATCATGTTATTGGCTGGGAGTGGCCAACTCAATATCACTCACATCGAGGCACACATCTCCTCGCCTGGCCTCTCATGACTGTGGGGATGCTGCAACAGTCGTAAGTGTGAAAAATGGTCATAAGTCACTTTTTTCAGTGCCACTGTAACTTTGAATGGTCACTCCACACAAGCAAAGTACCAGCAAAGGAGGGGGGGAAATTCCAGAGAAGTTCCTGAGACAGGAAGTCTAGTCCTGCCAAGAATGTAATAAGGGTTAATGGAGAGGCAGTTTCTGTAAGCAAAACCAGAATGTTTCCTTCCTGCCTTCCTTACAGGATTAGGCCAGTAATTTCTTCTAACAACCAGTTCTCCAAACTGCTTCGAGTTAACAACCAGTTCTAGCGAATAGGTGCGAACTGGTAGAATCTCACCCCTGCATGTAATGTATAAATATGAAAAACTTGTTTAATAAGTTTTAGTATATGAATTAATGTAAGCAAATTTTAAACAAAAATGAAGGTCACCATTTATTGATTGAACCCTATCTTGGTTCAAGTAGTTAGCTATAAGAGGAAGTTAAAGAATTATAAAGATTCTCATACAGGTATTGTGAGCTTTTCTGTTAAATTGGAAATTTTAAGATATCTTTGCAACAGTATTTTATTTTGTTAATGGAAGACTGTTGCAAATGGAACTTCCCATGTTTTACACATACATATATACACTTACTGCTCTGAAATGTCATGTAAAATTAAAATATTATTTCCTAATACCAAGATTTTATAATGAAAAACAATGGGTGGTGCAAAAGGAACACCAAAAATAATTTTAAAATATTACTTTAAAGAAAAACATTTTTTTATCTGGAACATAAAGAAGTATGCTGTAAATGTACTTGTATCAAGTTCAGAACTCGCAAAAGATATGGATCAGCCCACACATAGTTAATTAAAAGATGAAAATGATTTAACATTCAGGCTGCTAAATGTCATTAGCAGATTTGAAATTTGACTTTATTTTTTATTTTTTTTGTCACAAGCAATACTTAGCAACTATAAAAACTGGCAAATTCAACTTTCCCCAGAAATTACATTTGCTGTCCTTCAAAATAGAGCATGACTAGAGCTCCCTGGATCCCAAGACGATTCTATCAGTGGGAAAGAAAGCAGGAGAGTTCTCAAGAATTTTGCTGCCACCTTGTGGTTATCTAGCTTTCTACAGCCCAGGTTTGCCTATTCTCTTCTTCCCTTGTGAAAAA